ATTGTTCATGTTGTTTGCTAAAAATAAGAAAAAGAAATATGAATCATTTTTAATATCTAATATAAATATTCTTACTGAACATTCGATTGCCGTGAAACACCAATTAATGTACGACGAGCAGCTGATGGCATCGGTGTATGAGCTTGATTACGTGGAAAAATTGATCTAGAAATTAACTCTAAAGATAAATCATCGATTGAATTTAATGATTACGGTCGTGATTGAACAGGTGGATCACGTGTTGAACTCATAGTTGGACGACTTGTTTGACGATGAGTTGTTCTATGAATGAAACACATAAGAGAATTTCGTATATTTAAGATCTCAGGACAGGATTTACTAGAAAAGTTACAACTTGTCAAACGAACTACTAATCTCATTGAAAAACCCAGTAAAATTTTGATATCTCAAGATATATCGGGGTAGATTTTCTTGTTAGTTTGTTTTGTTTAAAAGCATTACACTTTTCGATATGATATCATGTCGAATGATGCAACTTTTTCATGGCAGGGAACATCAGTTTAAGAAATATTGAAGCAGACAAATCTATTACTTTGCTTGTTGATATTGAACTGGTGATGGTTGACTAAAATATAGAAAAGAAAAACAAAATTTTAATTTCTATTTGAAAAAAAAACAAGCAATAATCATTACGGTGCAGCTCGTCGAACTGGATGCTGTGGATGAGATGAAGCCATCGGTGGTCGAAGACCACTTGGCGCCGGGGGTCGTAAACCACTATAAAACAAATACAACAATTCATAATCAATTTGTTAATAATGACTGATAACGAGATGTTGTATCACTGATAAAAAAAAAGGACATACCTCGAACGAACGGCTGACGGCGGACGAAGCATAATCCAAAAATGTCACTTGAGATTAATGATCGATCGAATCCATGTCGAAACAAAGGTCTTTGTCCCATTGAATACCGCGCGTGAAAGTTAAACAAAAATATTTTTAACATATGAAAATTTCTTTTATTTAAATTATTAACATAATATAATTTAATAAAATCTTAAAAAATGAAATAAAATTTTATTAAATAGATGTCACTATATCATTAAATCTATAGAGGTATTGTCATAGCAACAGATCGAAAAACTTTCTTAGGATTAAACAATCGACGAAATCTCGTATTAACAAGAACGAGATGTCTCAATCAATTGATTTTCGTATAAATGATTTGATAAATGAATACCTTGATTATAAAGGTTATACCAATACGGTTGATACATTTTCAGAAGAACGACAAAGTCGTAAAGAACCAATAAATAAAATCGTTAAAGGAAATTTATATGAAAAAGAAAAAGAAAAATATCAAACAATCAAAGTATATTATTATTCAATATATATATATATATGCATATACATTTGTTTTTTGTTTTATTTTTTTTTTATAATTAGGAAAAACTATTAAAATATCTAGATAATGGAAATCGAGAAGAATTTTTTCAACTTTGGTTTGAACATATTCCATCAAATATCATTGATAATGACCCATCATTAAAATCACTCGAATTTTTAATCTATACTCATTTTGCTATTTATTATTTACGTTCAAATATATCAAATAAAGTATTTTATTCTATTCATTTATTTATAAACATTTATGATTATTTAGAATGAAAAATTAGCTCAAGAAAATATGTACGAATTTAAATTATATATCGAATCAATTAAAGGTCAAGCTATATCACAAACAAGTGATATATTACCTTTATTTGCTTTACCATATGTAACAGAACCAGAAAAACATGCTTCGTTTCAAGAGATATTTTCAGTTTGTTTTACAATTTTTTTTTTATTTGTTTGTTTTTTTAAGAAATCTATTTTGGAATTAGGATAAATGGCCTATACAATTACGTACGAAAGTATCAAATTTTTTTGATTGGATTTTTTCAAGTCGACCGTTACCAAGTCTTGTTGAATTATTGCAAAATGGTGAACGAGCATCGCATTTTTTATCACAAATAAATAATGAAAATGAAGAACTTAAATATCGAAATAGAGAAACAAGCCGACATATTAAACATATAAGTACAGATTATTGTAATTTAATTAGTAAGTTACATTCAAATAAATATGTTCATTTTACTTCATTTATCATTGTTTTAAAGGTATTACAATGGAATTGGTCGAAACATTACAACAAGCTGTTGTAGGAAGAACTATTACAAATGAATATATTGATAATGTATGCGCACGACTTGGTCTAGCAAGATTACATGAATCAATGTTCAGTATGCCAGATTCTTCTCGATTAGGGTAATAATATATTGTGGTAATTATATATGATGCAAGGAAATCAATAGCTTATATAAAAGCATCAACTTTATCTAGACAAATTTTTTTCTCAAAGAATAGTCCATATGTCATTAATTGTAGTCCTATTTTTCTTCAAATCGGGTCTGGTTCTATCAGTTAAAAGATCAAAATAAGGAAGATCGAATAGACATCATAGGACAAGTTCCCACTAGAATATGTATGATCCTTATATTATTCAATCAAGCAGCGCAAAATCAAATAAAAGAGTCTCGTGATAGTCGTTAATCGATTAGAGATACTTTTTTTTTTATAATATTTCATTTTTCATATTTGAAAACATGTTTAAAAAGAAAAAAGTTGATTGAATAGTTTATTTTCATTGAAATCAACAACAACAACATTCTTTTTATTATAGAATCGATGATCCATTAACAGAGAAATTAGATTATGGCAAAATAAAACGAGATATTGTACATGTATCAACTAGTCCACGTGAAAAAGCTCTATTACTTCAAGCACTTCGCTGGAAATTAACAAAAGCTAAAACAGATTTTAAACGTGAAAAAACACTTGAATGTTATATTGGTTGTGATTTACTTGGTTGTCGTTCTGATGTTGATCAACGAACAAAAATTATTAAACAATTATCATCAACAAGTGGTGGTGATACATATTATGTTAAAGAAGAATGGGCTCGTTTAATTAATACAATTGCTTCATTAAGAAAAGGTTCAAAAAAAAAAATAGAATTCTTTTTGTTTTTGATGATTTTTCTATAAAGAAAAAATAAATTTTAATAGGTCGAAATTATTTGGCACCAAATGACTCATTAATTATTTGTATGCAAAAAGCAGCTATGTCGGAATCATCAGATACACTTATAAAACAACATTTATTAGCAGGCTTACAAAAGCTTAGTCTTAGGTATAGAGATATCTGTATTAAACATTATTGTTTTAAATTTCTTTTATTTTTAGACGATCTGTACAAACTTTATTGATCAATCAAAATATAATTAAATGGTTAATACCATTATTAGGCAAAACAGAGCGTCTATCTGATTATACTTTAGGTAAATATTCAAGAATCCTTGATTTTCTAGATAAGTGCTTTCGAAAAAACTAGCTCATAACAGAAGACTATGGCTTTCTATTCTGAAAGAAGCTTATAATACTCTTTTGCTTTTCGATTGTTTCTTACTATTTTATAACATATCGGATATGTTACAAGCTTATTCGAATTATTTCGTATGGATAATTTAAAGAAACATCTTCTCTTGATTGATGTTTATATCTATTAAAAACAAAAGATTTCCTGCTCTTTTAAAAAAAAAACAAGCATATTTTTCAAACACTAGGTAACAGAAGTCATGCAAAATTTTAGTGAAAAAATAAAATGCTGAAGAAAAATATCATGTTTTTTGAAGAAAGGGGTTTAATCAAAATAAAATAGATCATTTTTGAAGAATTTCCTTTACTGTTTTACGTCATTGCTATTTTGTTATGGACGTCTTAAATACATATTCCAAACTATTGGAGAACTTTTTGTTTCGATAATTTTAGAATTTCAATTATTTGAACGTTTTTTTTTTCTAGAGTATGGAGTTGCTTTATTGATGAATTTATGTTTACGTACAAATGGTCGTAAAAAATGTGCTGGAATAGCTGAACAAGCTATAACCGTACTTTCAGCTCTATTGACTCATCCAAATCATGAAGTATATTGTCAATTTAAAATATAATAGTAAAATCTATTTTACATAAATAGACTCGACCATATGTAAATTCTTCATTATATTCAATTTTAACTCTAAAATCAATACGTGATAAAGCCATGCAACTTGTAAGTTATGTTTGTTTTTATATCTGAATATCAAATTTTATAGAAAAATATCATAATAGAATCTTGATAATCGTCTTCGATCTATAATTCAAACAGAAAAAACAAATTCTGAAACAAAAGGTCAATTAGAATTTTTACTTAATCTTCTATATAAAGGTGGTGATCAAGATGGTAGACAAACATCAGATAATGAACAAGATAATGATGATGTATAATTTAATATTTAATAATCTTTTTATACAAAAAAAAAATTTTTTTTTCTTCATTCTATAGGAAGATCAAGATATTATGGAAGCTGATTTAGATCTTGGTGATAAATTACGTCCATCAGATAAAGAATTAAGTGGAGAAAAATTAATCATTGATCAATATGCTTCTCAAAAACTAACAAATTTTCAAATGCCTTATAATAATATATTACATAGTTCATCAACAATTGATCCTGTTCTTCATCGACCAATAACACCTGGTCAATTACGTCATTCAAAAATTGCACATACAGTTGAGTCTTTTGCCAATAGTCTTTCAATTGGTGATATAGATAATAATCATAATAATGATGAATATGAAAATAAAATATTTACGGATTCAACAAAAAAACCTTCATCAATTAGAAGTACACCAATAATGTCAAATGAACAAGAAAAACAAAAAAATTTCATTGATAATTTTGATACAAATAATGATCTTGATCAATCAACAACAATACAAAAAACTACACCATCACCTATGAAATATACATTTAGTGAAGCACATCGATCTAATTCAAATGCATCTATGCATTCATCAGTATCATCTGTTATGGAATTAAATAATGAAAATATAAATAAACAATCTTAATATATATTTTATTTCATTTATGGTAACAATACATCTATTTTATGATATTTAAACCATAGCTGAACGAATAACTTCCTTGCAAAGTTCTTCCCGTGCTTGTCGATTTTCAATTTTTTCTTGTTTTTGTTCCCGTTGTTCTGCATGCAAAGCTAATTGTTTTTTTATATCATTATTCACTCCACTAAGTTTTTTGTTCATACGCGCAGTAACCTTATAGAAAAGACATATGTTAAATGATTGAAAATATGTTATTTAATGTTTGTTTGTGTTTTTTTTTTTATATTACTTCGATTTTTTGAGCAAGAGTGACTTCATGTGGTCGACTAACAAAACTTGATACTTTGCCTGGATTTTTTGAACCAATACGACCAACACGACCAGTACGATGGATATAATCGGACATAAAACGTGGAAAATCAAATTGAATTACATGTTCAACCTAAATAAATAAAATATTAAATATAAAAAAAGAATATTTTTAAATTTTACCCAATAAGTATCAACACCACGTGAAATAATATCAGTAGCACACATGACTTTATCGTCACCATTTCGAAATTGTTCAAGATTGTTTGCACGTTTCTACGAAACAAAAAAAAAAAGGGCATACCCTATTTTTGTGAGGGAAAACTGATTCGAGTCATGAAAATATTCGGTGAATAGTCTATGCTCATCTGACCTTTAGAAAAACATTAGCGTAAAAGCTGATCATTTTTTAACGGTTTCGAACAAATAAATGATGATCGAATTGATTCAGAAAATCGTGCTCAACACTTCGAACTCATTATTTTTGTCACATGTCAAACATAGTCTAAATAATAATCATGCTGACAGTGACTATGAGAATTTTTCGAACATCTACTTGAGAAAAAAAAATTGATTATTAAACTCGTGTTTGTTTGTATCATTAGAATAGATGAAAAACATACTGTATCGGTCATTTGACTATGCATAACAAGAATCTCTATACGTTGATCACGAAAGAATTGTTGAAGAAATTTAACTGTTTTGGTTTGATTACAAAATATTAAACAAGCATGTTTCTTTTCTAAATCATATTTGACTAGTTTTAATAGTAGACCTATAATATTAAAATATTAAGATTAAGAATTATAAATAGTTAATAACAAACCGAGTTTTTGTTGGTTACCAATACGATAGAATTTCTGAGGAACATGCGGCATAATACGATGTACAGATGGAGTTAACATTTTATCAATTTGATCAGCCTATTAAAGAAGATAACACAAAAAAAAGATCATCTAGTAGCATTGTTTTCATCAACACGAACACTGATTAATTCTTTTAGACTTTCTTCAGTTGTTGTAGGTATGGTAGCAGAAACAAAAACAAGTTGGACAGCTGGTGGAGCATTCTGTTCAAGATCATTTATTGGTTGTACATCAATCTATATTTTTATTATATATTTTTTAGTTTCTTTTTTTTGCATATATATTCATCGCTTACTTCTAAACGTCGAATAATTTCAACAACAGCAGGACTAAATGTGATATCCAATAGAGTATCAGCTTCATCAACGATTACATGTCGAAGATTACTACCAATTAAACGTCGTTCAATACCAAAATGTTCATCTAGATCGATTAAAAATATATAGAAAAATCGAATGATAAAATCAACATTTACCTTGTCTCAAAAGCCGTAATAGAATACCGGGTGTGGAAATAATAATATCAACTTCGCCAAGAGTAAAATTAAGTGGATCCTATCAAAAACAAAAATCATTTAAACATATAGAAAAAAAAATAATGAGGAAATCGCCGTAAATCATTCAGAGGTCTTGCACAGATATTTTTTTCGCATAAATAAGATTCAATGAGACTAGAAGAAGCCTATTAGGATAAATACTAGCACAAAATTTTCGATGTGAAATTTGTCAGGCTCAAATTTTAAACACAGATACATTATCGAAAATGATGAGGCCATGCTCGCGGAAAAGTTTTAAGAGTTGGTCTTCAGAGATTTTCGAAGATTCCTTCAAAAACCTTTGAAGACTTGCTTCTAGGATTTCGTCCTCAAGCGGGAGTCTCGTCATTTTCGATATTGTAGCTATGGTAAAAACTTGAGCTCAATCGATTGTATTCTCGCGAAGAATCAGAAGTGGTCCAAAAGAGGGAGAAAAGGTACCACCATTAAATGTTTCAACCAAAACAAATGCTTTTTTTCTCGACATGGAGAGTTTTCATGAAAGTCGATTTTCATGACAGGTGCCATCATGTGTCGAGAAAAAAAATCGTTCGTTTTGATTTTGATATTTAAGAAGCTATAAGAATCATAAGAACTATATATGAAGAAAACTTCAGATCGAAATTCTGTGCTTTGACTTTTCGGTAGTTCTCTTGTTATAAGTGATAAACCTAGTAAAAATGCTCATAACTTGGAAAGAAAGACTTATGAGTCTTTATCTTATTAAGCATTTTCTACTCTCATTGGATTCTTCGCATAAGTAAAATATCAGTACAAAAATACTAAATCACTGGTGGCGGTTTTCTCGTCAAAGAAAAATCAGTTACTTTATCTGTATTGATTCCGATTAAACTTCGTGTTCGAACATTTAATTGATTAAATACTTGTAACATGTTCTAAAAAGAAAATTTTCTTAGAAAAAAAGAATACAATTCTTATTATTCTCTCACTTCAATCTGTGCGACTAGTTCTCGAGTTGGTGCAAGAATAATTGCAAATGGCGCATTTTCCATTTGTATTATACGATTTGATGATTTCCAATGAACAAGTGATTCAATAAGAGGTACAAGATATGCTAATGTTTTTCCACCACCTTTTCAAGAAACAAAAATAAATCTATATAAAATAATTGTAAAATTTTCTTTCTTTCTAACCAGTTTCAGCTGCTATAATCATATGACGACCTGTTCGTAATTCTGGAATAACACGTGATTGAGTTGAAGTAGGATTATGAATATTTGCTTTTTTAAGGGTTTCTATAAGTTCTGGTTTACAATCAAGTTGTTCAAATGTTGGAACAGTTGATTGTGTCCATGATGGATTTTTAAAGTGATGATCAATAGTAAAAAAGTCACCTTTTGATAATCGATGTTGCCAAGCACCGGAAGCGACATGTTTTTCAGTCATATGACGGTATTGGCGGCCTTCAAAAAAAAAATCTTCTGTTATATTTTTCTATACTAATAACAATCATAGTAAAGGAAAATTAATCTTAAGAACTTAATTTCTTAATATTCCAGGAACTCCAATTGAAACAAAACAATTGTTGTAAATTCTACGTAAAATGTCGAGTTTCTTATTAATCGAATACGTAAACAGGATTAGAAATGAGAGCGACGAAACATTTATTTTCAGTATTAACAAGAAGATTTAAACAACATCTCTCAAAATTCTCGATTTATGTATCAGTTAGGCATGGTTTCTTACTCAATACTTGTTTTAGTATGTGAAAGAATATCTTCAACTTCTTTATTATGAAATACGATCTAAAAAGAATGTGGAAGTATGTAGAGTAGCGATTTGAAGGAAGATTACCCTTGTTTCTCGTCTTCTCTGCGGTATGAAGTGCTACCTAGCGACGGATTCATTAGTTCGATATCTTCCTTACAGATACTACTAGCTGTAGCTCCGGGCAGCAAGCCAGTCTAATACAGAATTCTTGCGCTAAATTGCTTGAGTTCTCCATCACATATTAGCCACAGTCGCAGGCGTACATATCTTAGAAGTGACAAACATCCTTAGCAACGCTCCACAGTATGCGTTTTTGACATGACAGGTGGACATGTCACTTTCTTGCTTGGAAACGAATTCCTTTGCTCCGACATTATTGGATATGACGAAGAAAGGTTTTTTAAGAAAAAACCATTTTTCGACGAAGAATGCCTGAGGAAGACTCTTACTCGTATTTTTTCGAGAAAATTGTTTTGTTTTATATATCATTCGATGTAATATACTATTTTTATAGATTACATTTTTTTTTGAAAGCTAGAAAAGCTGTAAAATACTCGAAGAACCAGGTTTCTTTGAAACCCATTGTGCAGTCAAGAGACGTTTGCACTAGTAGGGATTAGAGGCAGTATATAGAAAAACCTTCTGGCAAAACTTGGAAACGCTTGGAGGTTGGATGTGGGTGAATTGCTCATTTTACGGAAGTAGACATTCAGATGATACTAGAAAAATAATATGTTTTACCATTGTATGAAGCTCAGTTTGAAGATTTAGAAAAGGTACTTGATTTCTCTGTTGGACAGTTTAATTTTGCCAGATATCAATTTTCTCGGTGGCATGACGATTTTCAGGTTAATTGTTGGGCAGCTGGTAGTTCAGTTTTCTTTGAGAGTTGTAACAAATTTATTTTTATTATTAGATAGAGGTATGTTTTCCTATATTTAGATCTTTAAAAAGCGCGATTTTCATTTTTAACCAAACGTTCGCCCAGATGCATACTGTGCTCCCTCCCCCTGTGCGTCACAAATTATTGCATTTCTGGAGGATTAAGTAAAGGATGTTGAACGAGTGTGTCCCAAAATAGATAGTATAAAACAATCTCTCCGTGATTAGCGAGACCAGGTACATCGTGTTTCACTTTTTAATCCTGCAGAGATTATGCTAACAGGTTTTTCTTTTACACGAAACCATTAACTATAGATTACCTGGATAATGATTAAACTCAGAACGTTTACAAGCAATTACTGGTGATTGTGATCGATCCTAAAAAAATTGCTTTTTGTATATGAATGATATTGGTATAGATGAACTTACTCCAGGTGGATCTTCTTCTTGTTCTTTTTTATAGATTTTCTTAGCTCGTTGTCGTTCAATATTTTTTATCATTGAATGTGGTACTGTTATTTGATTATTTGTTTCAATAGGATTCTATTTTATTGTTTTATGTTAATTAATTTTAAAAATAAAATATAAAATATTTGTCCTTTTTTTTTGTTTTTATTGACTTACAATACGATATGATGCTACATTGATTAAAAATGCTTGATTATGATTTTTTGTTAAAGCAGAAAATAATCGTCGATAACAGACAATCATCTTCAATGTAAATAAATAAAGATTTTAAAGAAGATGTTGTTTTTTTTTTTTTTCATTTCTTTTTATTTTAACAAAAACAAAAACAAAATATCAAATTAACAAAAACAATTCCAAATCATGTTTACGTAATTTTTCTTCAAGATTTTCAACAATACGTAATTTAACTTTTTTTACTTGACCGGTATTATAAACACGATAGATTTGAAAATGTTGATTTATATCTGACAATGAACAACAATATTGTAATTCATTGTATGTTATTGGTATTAATTGACGATTATTACTTAAAGTACTTTTTACTTCAATATATGTTATTATTTTCGTTTTAAGATATTTTATAATGAAATCATATGGTTTTCCTTGTTCGAATTTTTCATTAAGCCATATGATTTCTATTTCATTCAATTGAATTTTATCCTGATATTTTGCACGAAGATATTCATTAACCCATTGTTCACCTGAAAAGTTCATTAGAAACTTTTTCATAGATATAAATGAGAAAAATATATTTACCCCATCGACCAATTTTTTCCAATGATTCTTGATCAGAACCAATTGTTGAATTTCGATTATCAAGTACTTGATGAGTAAGATCTTCAATATTAACATGTTTAGTATGTTGTTCAATAGTTTCATAAGGCGTATCAATAATTGTTGACAAGGTACCAGAACGAATATTATCAAGTCGAGGAATTGAATCATCTATGGAGAAAATGATATGCAATGCTATTTAAAAAGTAAAATAAAAAATTGAAGCATATGATGATGTTCTAGTTGAACATTTGATATTATCGGGTGGAAATATTTAGAAAGAACTGACGAGGGAAGGTCTCCAGGTGTTACGCTCCGTTTTGAATCGGACATATGCCATTTTGTAGAGCTCAGTGAGACTAGCAAAAGCTTAAAAGGGTTCTTCCCCATGGGTCCTTCGGAGTCGAGTTATGCCCTTTCTACTGNGGAACATTCGTTATTTACATTTTACAGCTTTTTGTATATCTTTAGTTTTCGTCTTTTTTCAAATATACCTAAAACTATTTTTGAGCCTAGTCATCTATGGTTTTGTAGAGAATTTTAAGCGCTATCTTTTGATAATAATGAGAGCTTTACTTACAGTGATAATAGACAGGAAATCTTAAAAATACTGGGAGGCTCATTATTCCTGGGACACCCGATATTAAGATTGGAAGAGTTGGTTGAGATAGTATAATAATTGTTAAAATAATGGGCGCTAATATAATTCGATCAGTAGGTTTAACATTTGATAAAATTTTAGAAAAATTAGAGTATGTTGATATTTTAAAAGCAAAAAAATTCTTATTTTTTATGTGTTTGACGAGACAAGTACTCCAACTGATTCATGGCTTTGGAGGCTAGAACTATCTGCATTTTGTAGATCAGAAGAAGAGCTTTGATTCTTACTGATTTTTGCTGAGTGAATATTACGAAGTTATGGTAGTTTTAAATTGTTCCCTCAGAAACACGAGAAGAATTGAGTTTAGAATTTTGATTTGAAACTTTGTACAAAGGTAAAGTTTTTGATTTGCTTCTATCCTGATATGAAGATACTGAATCAGATGCTATATATGTACGATTAAAAAGACATGCTTTTATGATAGCTGCATCTTCAGTGAATCACAATTATCATGCCGTAATTGAGACTGAGTCGTTAGAATAGTTATACAATTGCTTTTATATACAATGAGTGATGTATATAAAACATGCATGAAATAAGAATAATAACGTTTGAGTTATAGCGAAGTTGTTCATTGTTCTTCTGATTCGGTAAATTTTGTTTTCTTTTCTATCACTTGAACACATTATTAAATAAATATTTGGCCAGGCGGTGTCTTCCTAAAAATCATGATGACAAAGAATCTCTGAAATTCATTTTCATTTGTCGTCGAAATCAATAAGATCATTAATTATATCAATTGGATCCATTGATGCGTATATTTTACGTTGTTGATTATTATTATCTAATTTATCGTTAATAATTTTTGAAATGTTTTCAATTTCTTTTTGTACAAGATCAGTTAATATATAATTTAATTCTGTTCGAGCTATTTCCATTGTTTTACGTTGATTAGCTTGCATAGTTTTAATACACTAATAAATAAGAAATTTATTTATGAGATTAATTAAATATTTTCAATCTTACATTTCTTGCTAAATATGCACTTTTCATTCGAATACCTAATTGATAAATATCTTTTACATGAATTTGTTTAGCTATAAATTTGAAAAAATGTTCAACATTTATTTCATTTTCTGTTTTCCAAACAGATTCTTTAGTCATATATTGATCAAGATATTTTAATACATCAGAAGTTTTTAAATCTTTTTTTATATATTCATTTCGAATATGTTTTAATCGAAATAATTCTTCAATTTTTGGTTGTCTTTCTATAGGACCCAATAATAATTCATTATAATCATTTTTATAAAATATACGAGCTAAATCATTTTCTAATTCATTTAATGTGCCTATTGTTTGCCAATAGCCATAAGAATCAAGATAGATATTTATTTTATTTTGTGTTCGAATAAGATTATCAATACAAGCAATTTGATCAGCACGTTGAATACCTATATTACCAAGATCTTGAACATGAAAATATGTTAGAATACGCCAAATAACATCATTCCATCGTACTAATTGTCCTTCATCATGAAGAAGAACTATTTGTTTTGCAGCTATTTCATTGATATGCTAAATAGATGTGAATAGATTTATCAACGTAGGCTAAAATACCGTCGATGTCAAAAATTTTCCGAACACTTATCGTACAAGCTTCTACTGCTTCTTTCTAGCGCTATAGAGTCTCATCTATCTACTTGATTGTCACTAAAGCCTAATTTTGGCACATAGCCAATATCATAGTAATTAGCATACTCTGATATATTGAACGCATTTGGTAACGTCAACTCGACTTCATTCAGTCCTGTGACTCATAAAATTAGCATAATCTATTCAACAGACATTTTTAATGAGAAAACAATCTCTCAGCATCAGGGATTGGACAAAAAATATTTGTACCAACATGATCTAGATAAGGTGATCATAAGAAGAAGATAATGTCTATATCATAACTTCAATATATATATATACAACTAGAAAGAGTCCAAGGTCGATCCGACGGGCTCTAAGTTCATGTGAACCGATGAAAGGCGGGTTCGCGCATGCCATCAGGGTTTATTATCGTATGCACGTGTCTATAATATTAGTTCAATATCATAGAGAATAGTAACAATTCATGGTGACGACTACTTTTGTCCAGGACTGTATATATATATATTACGTAACTGTTACTATGCATGTATATAATCATATGAAATTAATGTTTTATAGCTTTAATACAGGATTTTGAACGTTGATTGTACTTCACAGTTCGATATATGTAATCTTCATTTTAAAAACTCGCGAAAGATAGTAAGAGATCTAAATTTTCCCTTATTGGCATATCAAAACTAAAGAAACAAATGTTATCTAGTGAATATCCTCTTTCAAATAGTGTTAACTAAAGATCGAAAATTATCTGCCATAGAATAAAATATGTTTTGTTCTTGTTTTGAAAATAATAATATTTACTTGTAAAGGAATTCGCTGTGTAATATAATTTGTTTGAGCTGTAAATGGAATAGTGTTTGGTGTTGAAGAAAAAGGTGAACAAAGTGATAATTCTAATGGACTTGTATTTGTGCTTGAATCATGTTTGATTATAATTGGATTCGATTTTTTTTGAGTCGTTGGAGGAATAGGTTCGAGTGTATCTGAATCAGAACTACTGGATGAAAAGGTTATACGACTACGTTTAGATACGGATAAATTAGAATCTAAATGAAAATAAATTCAAATGAATAAATATAAAACTTAATTCATACGTGGCTTTTTCATAGATGAAGATTGATTGAATGTTCGTTTATTATTTTGTTGTGTTTCAGATTGTGATGGATAATGTTCAATAAGTTGAGTTAATTTTTTAACATAAATTTCCCATGGAGCACAATCAATTTCAACTTGATGTTTAAGTCGATTTGTTTGTTTATCGTAATCATCTTTTGATAGAGTACCAATAGAAAATGAATTATCCAGTTTATTTTGTTGAGATGAATATGTTGATCTAGTTGTTCTAATAGCTGTTTCAGCAAATTCTAAACCTTCTTTAGCTGATACATATTGTCGATTATTGAGAAGAGATGTCTGTTTGACTCTAAAATAAGGAGAAAATAAAGAAAACTGAGTATAGGACAGAATTCTTACAATTGCGAAACGGTTGATAAACCAGCACTGTTCGACATGATGATATTTTCAATTGAAAGAAACAAAAAATTAACCTAAAAATCATTAATTTTCGAGTTTTGATTGAGTTAAAAGAAGATAAATAATTGATTGGTTAGTTTATAGATTAATCTAAACGACCGAAAGAGGTCATAAGTTATCAATAGAAAATATCTGTCGATGTAAACTCGAGATAAGAGCAGTTAAGAATAATTCATGAAACTCTCTAAAAAGAATTTTTATATTCCATTATCAGAGAACCATATCAATAATGTGCAGAGTTTCATATGAATATTAAACTATCTCTTATTGTTGACCAAGTGGTAAAAACAAACGAAAAATTAATTCATATCCTCATTATTATATTTCATTCTTCAAGATAGAATATGAGATAACAATAGAAAGGTCATTAAAAGCTTCTTTAAATATCCTTATCATGAATATACAATTTATCGAAAAATTCTAAATAGTATCGTATAGTAAAATGAGAATGCATCTCAACAGGTGATGTTTTATTAAAAAAAGAAACATTGTTTCCTTACGAATTCTATCATAGTTCTTCGTGCGACATTTACGGTGATCGAATCTAGTTGTAATGGTCGACTCTATGACTTCGACTGTGTGTCTCACTGGGTATATGATCGTCTTTTAGCCTCGTATCCATAAAAGTTTCTTATGAATGAGAAGAGAGACGATTTGTTCTACTCCACGCAAGATTGTCAACAATCCATATGAATCGAGAAGGAAGCTAATGTCTGCATCTAGGTGAACATTTGGCTAATAGTGTAAATTTCACTTTTTCAAGATTTAATATAGGGAACTATAATTTCAGAATCTTGTCTATCTAATTGTACAAATAACTTTATTACAACTCTCGAAGAAACTAAAAAACTAGTTGCTCAAAAATTAGCCTGAAAATCATGATGTCACCAACAAAATTGATATCTGGCAAAATAAAACTATGTGACAGACAAATCAAGTAGATTTTCCGAATCTTCAAAGCCAAACTCTATTTTAAGAAAAAAAATGAATCGGTAAAAGTCGTATATTTGGAATCAGCACATTCAACTGCGTTGGATCTAACCATTTCTGAGCGAAGAAATCCGTTTCCAAACAAGAAAGAGACATATCCATCTACCATATGAAAAAACACACTATGGAGGTAGACCATAAGTTGGGCAGAAAGTACTTGTATCCTCAGAGTGCGAGAAGTAGTGACGATAGAAGGAAGAAGAATGAAACGCACCATGACCCGATCCCTCCCATAACAGGCAACCTATCATCAGAACATCTACCCTCCCCCTCCCCATGCTATCTTTTTTTTGTGAAAACTGACAATCAACTATGGTTAACCTACGGTTTTCTTCAGATTTTTACTAATGAAAATTTATAAAACAATTAATCGTGAACTTATTCATAATACCGATAGCTCATTAGTTACCATATAATCAAATTTATTAGAGATTTTCTTTCGATATACTCATGGCTTTTGTAGTTAACATAATATAAATATTCAGTGAGGAAAAAAGAGATTCAAGATATTTTTTTCTTGTTTGACAAGGTTATTTTTCCAAATATATATATATATTCGAAGCTGCATCATGCGCATATACATAAGATAACATAAAATTCATTTTATCTTGTAATTGGTACACTAACAATTGAGCCCCGACAATAAAGCTCTCGACACTTGAGTCTAAATTAAATAAGAGATTAATAAATACAAGACAATAATGTTTTTAAATGAAATCGTTTACGTGGATCGTGCAATATGGTTGTACTATTCGTAATCTTTGATTTAAAATCTATTGATAGTGTTTCTTTGGGATTCGGTGCATGAATATGATCTATGACTTGAAAGTATTTTATACGATCACAGCACACACAACCTGCACAATCAATTCTATAGTAACACCAGGTGATTTGAGATGTATTAGTACAGCAGTACCGAAAATACTAGCAAGCCATCAATGCCATAGAAAGTGATTGCATGTTTGTGTGCATTACTTTTGAGTTGAACAAAGTGATCAAATATTGATTTTGTTTCTTGCATGATTAATCGATGAAGACACAAGTGTTGGGATCTCAACTGTCATTTCACCCTTTTCATTGCATTTATGTTCAGACCGGTAAACATTGTAGAAGTATTCTCTGAGTTTATAAGAAAGTTGCTCATTAGCTTAGCAAAAACAAAATCTGTATTCATGTCTTGTGATTAATAGTCATAGTTGATACTCAAAGAGATAAATTGAATTTTTTTATTTAGAATTCGTTCAACAGCTCATTCAGTTGTAAGTATGAATTAATAAATTTAAATTGTGTTTTAATTCATCAAACAAATTAAATATAATATGCTTACTGGATGAGAGAAGTTGTAAGAGGATAGTGACAAAGAATCTTCGGTTAACCGACGAGTTTTTACTGATGCGAACGACACATTGGCCAAGTCTATTCACCTTGCAATGATATTATCTGCTTATTTTAATTTTATTTTCTGTCACAGAAAGGCAAATCACGTTTCAAAATCCGGTTTCAGTGCAAAGTTACTGCGAGGCTGCAAAATATCGGCAGAAAATCGAACATTTTGGTGCAAATGATATAAAATCAAATTAATTGATATTAGAGAAAAGAAAAGAAGATGACACAGTTGAGTAAGTATGTTTTATTTATTTCTATTTAGTAAATTATCTAATTTTCGAAAGAAAATGCATGACAATGAGAAAATTATTTAAGTTCAATCATAATTGTATCGAAGATTTGAATTGTTGTTGAGTAGTAAATTTTGATTTAACTATCAACTTTGAAATGAATTAGGCTATCAGATTTTTGAAAATTTCATCATGAGTGCAAAGATTACGAAATTCCTTTTGAGAAATTTTTTCGTCTTTGTTCAAGTCATATTGTGCAAAGATTGTATCTAAATGTTTCTTGAACGCATCAAATTCCTTCTGATCGACCAATTTACTGGTTGGTTGAGCTAGCAGAAAAATTTTTTCAATCTCCTCTCGTGAGAGAAAGCCATCGTGATTGAAATCACATAGAATAAACATCAATGCAAGCTTGTGCGTCGGTGTACCAGGTGTCATCAAACAAGAAGTAATCAGAAATTCATTAAAATCGACTTTTCCTAGACAATAACAACAACGACATAATCATTTAAAGAAAAATTGCTTACAAAAAATTTACCGGAATGATCTCGATCGAAATATGCGAAGACTCGCTCGACTATATCAGAAGTCTCAGAATCATCGGTTTTAGGTGATGTTTGGTTCCATAGTTTGACGAATTCTTCTTTCGTGAGTTGACCACTGGATGAACTCGTATGAAAGCTTTCTGCAATTGAACAATGTAACGAGTTGAAGTTCGAAACAAAGCTTTAAAAAAGTCACTGAAAATTTTCTGAGATTAAATTTAATATTTAACTATTTTTGTCTGGTTCGATAGAGCAACTTCTCACAAATATAATTTTGATTATGAATATTACTTTAGAGAGGTTTATGAGTGAGATATCAACTATGTAACGAGATACGAACCAAATGCTTCTCGTATATCTTCTTCACTGAGATTTGACCTTCTCTTGAGAGCATCGATCTGTTTTTCAGTCAATGTGACTGTGCTTGTTGGTTTGACTGGTTTACTTGCCATTTCGTCAAATATTCAAAACTGATAAACAACTCTTGAATTGACTTAATTAATCTAAAATAACAAGAAAAAAAAAATAACAAATCGACAACTGTTGAATCTATATGAAATAAACTTTCCGCGCAAGGTATATTGCACATTTGACTGTTTATATAGTCAAAAATATGTATATTTGACCTTGATTTTTATTTGTGCACATAGCAGAAGCATTCATGCAGAGCATTGAAAACTGGACACTTATGTGATACAATCTTATAATTACCATAGATAAGAATCGCCCTCTAATCATTACATGATCACTATGCAAACATTTTTTTCTTGCTGACTTAAAGTGTTCACTGAAAGTAGCAGTGTATAGAGTACGTAAAAATATTTTTTCAGGGCGGGGGGGGGGGGGGGTAATTTCATATAACATCAACAAAAAATACAGTATCAGATTAAAGCGCGTCAACAATATGATTCACTGATAGCAAAAAGTAAGTGTTAGGGTAACTTTTCAGTTTCAAATTCAAAAAATGCCTAAAATTTTAAGTCACATCAGTAGAGAAAAATTCCTTTTGTGAGACAGTTCAAACTAGATCTCATTTAAAATAATAAAGATCAACAATTAATATTTATTTCTTAAGACTTGATGAACATTATCAATAGTCAGTATGACAAATATTAGCTTTTCTACAGAAGGAAGATGAGACAGATACGAACATAAACTAATTTCAAATATTTCTTGGTTTGTTTTCGTGTTTTCTGAGAGTTTCTTCATGAAAACGATTGTGTTCTGTGTCTGATAGTCAGTCTTTCTAGATTCATTTTTGATTATTATTCCAATTATTTTCATGTCAGCTATTCAGTACTTTTTGATATTCATAATTTTAAATGAGATCTAGTTTAAACTGTTATACGGAAGAAATTTTTCTCTGCTGATATGACGTAAAATGTTAGGCATTTTCTGTATTTGATACTGAAAAGTAACCCTAACGCTTACTGTTTAGTTTTGGTGAATCTCATTTTTGATGTGCTTTAGCTTGGTATAAAATCACAGTGTTACGCCCCAGGAAAAATATTTTTATACACTCTGTATATGCTATATCGAAGTTACAACTGCCGCGATCGGTGCAACTTCGATACGATGTATATGCTGATAAGATAGAGTCAAAATACTTTTTTTTAATGTCGTCAATATGCAAATAGCAACTTGCCCATGCCATAACGATGTTTACCATTTCAATGGTATAGTGGTGCTAAAATAAGTCGAATCAAAGTAAAACATTTTGTAATACGGAAATTTTTGAAATCTTGAACTCAAGTTAAGCACACCATGATTAAGATAAATCAAAATGTTGAGAAAAAGTATTTAAAACGAAAACATAAATAAAAAGATAGTTAAAACTAATATTGAAAAACTTCAATTTCATATCATTGAAGATTGTAAAAGAAAAAAGAGTTACATGTAAATAAAAATTTTTAAAAGAACGATTTATTCGATTTTCTTGTTATTTAATTTCTTTCAATAACAGCTGTTGGATAAATAAACAAGTTTTCGTTCGACAATTAAAAAAAAACAAAAAAGCAAACTATCACATAAAATTGAAAACTTGTTTTATCAATCATTGCACCATCATACTTAAAACAAATCACAAGATGTGACAGAAAATATCAAATAATCACTCTTACCTTAAGTATTGTGCGTTTCATTAAGTGGTTGTCGTTTCCATGACCATTTATGAGCCTTATTTGTAAGATCGCATGCTTGCATTTGAATATGTTCTCTATCATCAGATAATGCCATACATAAATTCGATGATGGATGGTAGATCTGATTGTGCTAGAAAACAACAGATAGTTTGCTAGCGTGGCAGTTTGCATTACTTTTGCTTAAATTTATGATTTACCGAGTGTGAAAACTTCAAATCTCATAAAGGATGGAAAGTTATAAGACTGTTAATCGGCTTATAGGATTTTTTCAATGAAACCCTTCCTACCTTATATCAATTGAAAAATCACTTTGAGATTAGAATCTTTTGCAGCGAAATTTATTATTTTTTAACGAATAAATAAAAAGTTTGAACATAGTCAATTTATGGTTTATTTTTTGGACTTAAATTATTTCCATAATAAAATTAATATATTGTCCTGCAACTGAGTCGAGTATCCGGTACCCGATTCGGCAGTATATGAAATTTCGACATGCCAAAATACTTATATTTCTTCAAATTGCTATAAATAAGCAGAAAGACACCAAGTGAATATGAAATCACTTGCTTTTTCTTGTTTATAGAATTTGAGATTATCTCTTTTTTCTTTTGTTGCAGTTTATGGAAGAAACCAGACAGAATACTTTTTCATATAAATTAAAATTTTAACAACTGTACTATGGTTGTGAAATGATTTGCCGAATGTCGATTAGCTTCTGTACTAGTCCTATCGGGTACCGAATACAGCTATTTAAGTTCTAGTGAAGTCCGAGTATAAAAAAAAGTGCCGATATGTGAGAAAAAGCTTTTTTTATAGCAACTAATAAGTCATATGGCCATCTGAAACTGCTATAAATATCAACTTTTTTTTCTTCAGTTCTGACTTTATAGTCAAAATATGACCTTCAAAACATCCATCTTTAGCCTCTCAGACACGTTCAGTATGGATCTTTGACGTCTTCAACGGCAAGAACAAACAAACATCACCGCTTTTTGACCATTAAGAGCTATTAACATTAGTTACGAAGTCCATAAATGAAACTTCAAATATCGATAAGATGAGACATCTCAAAGGGGTACACACCACTATCAAAGAGTTGATTTTAGCTAAAAAAGCAATCGTATTTCGAGTATTTGTTGTTCAATGGTATTCAAAGGAAAAAGTCCGACACCAGAATCATACTCAGTATAAAAAATTGAGTCGATCTACGTATTTTTCGAATTCATACGTTAAATTTTAATTTTGTCGAAAAATCCGACCAACGTCTTACGCTGAGATATGTCAAAAAAAAAAGATTCGTCTAACAACTCAAGTTATGAATTTTCAATATCATCCTTAAGATCATAGGGAAGTATATCTAAATAATAAAAATGAAATTTTGAATGGACTTTTTGTTTAACATATTTCTGAGAAAGATCTGGGCTGAATTTTTCAACAAAAATAAAAGTTGCAATATGCTTTTCAAACGTACATAGATCGATTTAGTCTTTTGTGCTGAACACGATTCTTGTGTTAGATGATTTTTTAGCCAGAATCGATACTTCGGTAGCAGTCTGTGCCTCTTTTAGGTGTCTCCCTCGTCAATTTTTGAAGTTTCACTCATGGATTTCATAGCTAATGCTAACAGTTCTTAATAGTAAAAGAATGACGATGTTTGTTCTTGCTGTTGAGAAGAGACCAAAGATCCATACTAAATGTGCCTGATAGACTAAAGATAGGTTTTTGAGGGTCGTATTTTGGCTATCAAGTCAGAAGAACTAAAGGAAAAAAAAGATATTTATAGAAGTATTAGAGGGCTATACGACCTACTAGTTCAATAAAAGAATTTTTTTCTCTCATTCTCTTTATGTCAATAGGTGTACTAAATCAGATTAGTCATGAAAGTAATTTAGGTTTGAAACCATCAATTATTGACCTTGTTCAAACTTTTTATTTATTCGTTGAAAAATAATACGTTCCATTACGAAGCAATGTATTTATCCCAATGTGATCTTTCACTTGATATAAAATAGTAACGGTTTCAATGAAGAAAAAAGCCCTACGGATCGATGTAGAACCTTGTAATCTTTCCTCCTTTCACTGAGAAATCTAATGTTCTACATTTAAATTCGAGAGAGAGAGAACGATAAATTTGAGCATAAAACAAACCTCATTATAAATCCAATATTGATTTCCTTCCTCGCCATAACATGCCAAAACAATAACTTTATCATTTTTATTAGCATCTGCCATTCCACCACCATAATCTAAACATCCTAGATCCCGACGAATTTCACCCGTTGTGGTTAGCATAAAAAACTGCATCAAACAAAACAAAACGAACGATTTAATATAAACAAAGAATTCTCGTATATACCTGATTGCCGCCTTCATTATGACATGTATAACCAATTACTGGTTCATTGAAATGGTTGGGTTCAGTATCGGCATCAATACAAAAATCTCCATCAAAATTTCGAATCTAAACAATTTTAACTTATTGAGTGATTTCTGATCGGAAAAAAGATATACTGATATGTTGTGTTACTAACATACCTCACCAAGAGCTATTGCATCAGGTGGAAGAGATAACTCAGGATAGACCTCAGTTAAATACCATTTAAATGATTTACATTGTAGTTTTTCTCGGAGTAATTTACGTGATGTAACATCACCATAATCAATCTAAACAAACAATTAATTATTAACAGTGTATATGTATATATATTTATATAATAAATAAAAACCATACTAAAATGTTATTTAATCTTTGATAATAATATTTCTAAATTGAAATTAATATTATTTTTTTTTTTTTGAAAATTAATTTATTTTCATTTTTTTAATACTTTATATTCATCAAGCCAAACTTCAGCAACTCGAATAGAATTCTTAACAAGTATATTGATTTCAGATGACCATTTATAAGGAGATCGTTTACGAAATATATGACCAACATGAGAACAAGGAGCAATGACCAGAGTGCCTATATTTAACAATTAACAAAAATAAATAAATATCGTTAAACATACCGCCACACATCCATATGCGAAAAGATAGTTCTAGATTTTCACCACCCCAAATATCCATTCCGGCATCATCTGTAATTAAAACAAAAGATAGCAGACTTTTTCAAAACAGTTCATAATTGTTTTTTTTTAATGAAGAATTCATAGAAACAGATTTTCGATCTTCGATAAGATCATTTTCTAGATAAAAAAGAAGCTTAATATAATAAGGAGATGTGATTTTGACTGAAACCTAAAGCTTTTTAAAAGTTTAAATATATTCATAAACTCAGTTACAACAAAAATTGAAGCAGAATAACTACAGTTAACTGATAGCTTTTGAGCGGTGTAAACGACATGCGTAAACCTTTTGGAGGCTTTTAATAGCTCATCAAGGTCTACTTATAAGAAAAACATCAGCTGAAATGATGTGAACACTCTGGAATGTTTCCTCGTAAATGTTACTAGAACAAGTTAGTTCTATTTCAGCTTCAAATGATAGTTTCTAAGAACAATTCATCAACAAATGACGATAACAAATAACTTACGCACATATTAAAACAAAGGTGACTATGAGTTTTGGAGTAATTATAGATCTTGTTATGAGGTCAAAGCTTATATTCACCTTTAGTTATTTTAAATTCTCATACTGTTTGTTAAAAATATTGTTTATCTGATGCAGTTATTTATATGTTTTAACACATAAGTCTTAGTCAAATGTCAAAATATAAAAAAATGCGTTTATTTCCAGAGAATTTCCAGAAACTCGCATTTACTTGCAACATATTTTTCAATTCGTTAGATCTCACGCATGAAGATGCAAGTTATTTCAAATATTTACAATTGTTGAGCATAAATACAAGACAATAAATACATGCAGAAAAAATACAATTTTCTAAGTTTTTAAGCAAAGAACATGCGAGACCGTGCATGACTCTTATCCTTGCAAATAGTGGCATGCAACATTCTTGCGTGTTTATACAAGATACATGACTTGCATGTAAATGTCAAAGTATTATTAACATGTACCTGCAAAACGGCTTGAATTTCACCAAATTCTGCATGTCAATGTAAAAGGTTCGTATTTACGAAAACTCTTACTCATATGATTCTGTATTTATATTCACAGATGTCTAATAGGTATCAGATTATCATTATATTCTTCAATTTTGATTGTGCTTCTAATATAAGTAGATGGTTAAATAGTGAAGCACTTCGTCTTATTAAGTAAAATATATGTGTTCGAATTTGATCCCTGGAAAACAAATCTCTGGCATGGTGGTTATGTGCTTTTATTACATGTGCTTCATTTTTTAGCTACTCTACAATTATCTTGCATACACAAGCGTTGGTTCTCTACAAAACCATTCATATGTTCTTGTGTACAGCCAGAAAATGAAGCAAGTATATACGCAAAATTCTCTACATGTAAACTCGAATATAGTTGTAATTTACAACGTGTTCTCGTGCATGCTATACCATAACGATTCATTTATGCATACACATTCTATAAGTTTTCGCATTTGTCTGGGTTATTCCCTAGAGACTTTTGTATAATTTAAAGTTGGATTATCATACATAAATAAATATTTTTTGACTCAGATTGTGTATGAAACTGTTAAGCAATTGGTTTTAAATACAACTTTGATAACTCTCGTCTTAATGTTTTTAATATTTTTTAAAAATTGGAAGAGCGGACAATTACATAGGTAAGTTCCAGGGAACAATTGGAAATTTTCGTATATACGATATTAAAATTAATGGAAGCTAACTTCTTCCAATATTTTTTTCTGTTCAAAACTTATCTCTGATTTCTAGCAAGACGTGAAGTGTTTGAAAATAAAACAAATCAATCTGCTACAAAACTCACAGTTTGTGATATACAGTTCAAACAATTTGAGATATTTTAATGAGATTCAAAGACAATCTGAGAAGGTTTACTTATGAGAGAATCACTCGCGATAGTACCTCACGTTGGATATGATATCTCAGTCATTATGTAAGATCTGTTCAGACTAGAAGAAACCGAGAAGAATTCTTCTCTATGTGCTGCTTGCTTTGACTGTTACACTGGATAGTTTTACCTTTATCATAGTATTTATTAAAAAAAAATGGACAAACAACTTTTAGCATAAAACTTTGTTTATGGGCAACTTTTGATCTCATCAGAATTTCCTCAAAAAATCCACTATGATGGTCATAAGTCCAAAAAGGACAGCGCATGGTGAATAATTCTTCAAGGTTTCTTCTAGTTTCAAGAAGCCCTAAGTAATGACTGAGGTCTCATCAAAAATGCAAGACATCACCTCGGATGATTCCCTAATTATATCTGTAATGAAAAGTATTATTTTGTTTCAGTAAACTTACAAGTTCCCAAATCATAAAAATAACTTTTACTCATGGCAAAAAGTCCTCCAGCCATAGTTGGTGTTCTTATTGGTTCTAAATGATGTTTTCTTCTTTCTCGTTCTCGGTCAGATATAGCATACCAATTAAATTGTAAATTCCAATCAAAACCGCCAACACTTATATCACTAGTAGCAATAGATCTATATTGAAATGTGGTGTCATCAATAGTTTCAATAATAGGTGTTACAATAATAGTACGATTTTGTGATATTGGACCCAGTAATGGCTCAAGCCAACCTTCTGTAGTTTCAATATGTGAATCAAGAAAAACAATAATATCACCTTTAGCAACAGCAACACCAGCTAAACGTGAACGTATTAAACCTTCTCGTTGTTTTTGTCGAACTACTGAAACTATTTTAAGTTGTTTGATATAATCATCCAATGGTTTCTTTAAATGTTCTATGTAAAATAAGAAACGAATTTTTCGTTACAAATACAGAAAGAAAAATTTTCTTACCCATATCAGAAAAATCATCGACAAGAATAATTTCTTTTAATAAATGTGAAGGACTACGATCAATAATCGAATGTATTGATCTTATTAATACTGACCATCCTTCATTATGAAAACACATTATAATACTTGCTGTTACTGATATTGGTCCATAGTCAATTTTTCGACAATCTGGATCACGTACATCAGGTAAACTACGATGATATGATATTAAATCACTAACATATTCATTAAATGCATTGTTTTCAAAGCCTTCTTCATATTTTTTAAGTTGATCTGGTGATAATTTACTTTTGTCAATGTCAACCGATTTACCCATTTCACCTGGCTCACTTAAATCAACATTTTTATCATCAATATTTGGTGCCCCTACTTGTTCTTGTTTATTACGTATAACACGAGCTTTTTTATTTTCTGATTTTTTAATGAATTTGGTTATAAAATTGGTTGCATCACGTGGACTGATGTTGGGTTCTTTATGTTCATTGGGATTTTCATCTTCAATAAATGGTTGTTTATCGATAGAATTGTTTGTCGAATCATGTGATTGAAATAAGATGAAAATTATTAAAAACCAAACAATAAATATAGCAAGAGTAGTACGATATATATAGCGAGAAATTAAAAAAGCCATGTTTTATGCTTTTATTTGTCGACATTTTTTGACACAAGCATTTTGATGAAAATATAACATGAAATTGTTATCTAGAAGAACATTACGAATCAGATTATATTATTCTATTCAAATACATATAAAAAGAAAACAACTCAACTACACATGTTTTAAGACAAAGGCATAGCGTAGGCTATTTATTGGGACGTCATGGATCATTAACAATGATTATACAAAAGGTACAATTGTGTATACTGTTCTTACCTTCACATATTGTGTGTTCGTATTGTTTAAATAGCGTAGCTATTTTGTTTACTTTTATGAATATCATCATATTATTTCATATTCACCTTCAATTATGTACAGTTAATCTTTTGTTGTTTTCTAGTTGCCTTTTTTCTCTATTACTATTGTTTATTCTAACAAAATATATATTGAGTTTAACTTGTGTGATCACATGTAAAAGATGAATATTTATGTGTCTTTTAATGATATTATTTATTTTTAATATTTTCAATTAGACAATAATTTGCTAAAGCACATTTCTAAAGCGAATATGCAGAAAAGAGAAAAAGAATTCAGATTAATGTCTTGTACAAGTATTCGTTATTGTTTTTATAAACTATTTGATAACAAAATAATAAATGTGTCAGAACACAATTTATAGATGAAGAATAGCATAAGCAAAATATTATTTCTTTTTAAATAAATTACTTTTATGTTTGGAAATATCGCTAAATCAATAAAATGAGAGATTCATTGAATATATTAATAAAATAAAAACAACAACAACAACAACGAAATATATAGTTATTTTTCTTATGCAATATCTTGATGTTTCGGTGGTCGTATCGTTGAATTTCTTAGAATACAATCTTTCATCCAATTAATTGATTCATTTATTCCATCACCTGATAAAGCTGAACAAGCTAAAACCATACAATCTCGAACACCAATTTTTGATGTTGAACGATTAAATATACGCTTTATTTCTGGTACAGTCATACATTGTTCAATATCTTGTTTATTACATGAAACTAATAATGGTACATTTGTTAATTGTTCTGATTGAATCATTTTATCAAATGTTAACCATGATTCTTCTAAACGTTGTCGATCAGCACTATCAATTATATAAATAATACCATGACAATCAGCATAATATTTATCCCATAATGATTGTAATTCTTCTTGTCCACCTAAATCCCAAAAATTCAGACGAACATTTCCTATATCAATTGTACCAATATTACAACCAACAGTTGTTGTTATTTTTGATGGATTCATCATTTTATAATTAGAACAATATTTCGTTTTTGTTTGTTCAAGATATGTTGTCTTTCCGGCATTATCAAGACCAACAATAAGAATATAATAATCATCTTTTTGAGTTAAATATTGATAAAGACCTGTTAGTAACGTCCACATTATAAAAAACTCTTCTTTTTTTTTCGTTAACGTGGATCAGGTGTGTCTTACGATCATTAATGCTTTTAATATTAGTCAAAACAAATTAAATTGCATCATTATAGATGTCACTTGAATATGATTGTAGCAAATTTAGACAAAACTAAACATCTATGACATATTGATATAAGAACAGAAATGTCATGAGACTCAATCAATTTTAGTGGAAACCTCTTAATCAGCCTTGTGAGTCCATATGATGTCTTCTACGAGTATCCTTGAAAACTCAATTAAATACCAGCGCAGAAAATATAGAGATATTGCATGGACAGATGCGACAACACACACCCTATATCTCTGTATCTCCTATATTACCTATGATAGTACTATTGAGTTTCTGAGAGAATCCTGAAAAACATACAACGCGTAAGTCATCAATTCCTTTCCCATTCCAATATTTTGTCAACTTCGAGATACTCCTGTAGGTGAAGATATAGGTTTTGGAGATCTTCTTCAGGAGCCTCCTTTTTCGAATTTTTCTCGATTTTTCGTGTTTCATCTTTATTATAGCTTCGAAGTATCTTCTGTCAAATGTCATATAAATGAGAGTTGTTTGTTATTAGTTAATAGTTTTATTAAACTCAACTCTTGAAATCTCTAGTAGAAAAAACTTGCACTGCAATAATTATTTGGATGCAAAATTCTTCTAATGATATTGATTATTTCGCGTTCGAAAGCTGCTGAGACTATGGATGGTCATCGACCTCTAACATTGCTGAACACAGACAGTTTTCGATCAGTTTAGTTGGAGAAAACAAAATTTTGATGCATACAGAAAAAATTGTTCCTCGTTTTTCTCGAAATCAATTTTTACACAAAACGAGAGCAGAATCGCTCCTGTTTCTTTGACATAGTAAGTTCAACTGACGTGAGCTGAAACTTTTTTACTCATGCTAGACACTGTTTGAGATTCTTATTTTTTTTTGTTTTGAAAACTATTGCACTATTGATTTTACAAAAAAAGACTCTAGTAAAAAATACATTTTAGTTTCTAGTATCTATAACAATACCTAAAAGGAAATGTTTTTGAATTTTCAGTCTATTAAGACTTTTGTTCTAATCATCGAGATTTATCTATCCAGAATATTTCAAGTATTTCTGATAATCCGTCCTTCAGGGAATCCCGGCAAGGGAGGAAGATTCGCCTTGGTATATTTCGATTGTGATCGACTTTATATTTGTCTCAATCAACAGTTAATCGATTTCGAACTAAGATCTTTTCGATCTACGTCTTGATACTAGATATAAATTCTTTTGTAGTCGAAAAGATAAATATAAAATATCATGATCAAGTGAAAGAGTAAACCTCATTGGTTTTTTTAGAAGAAATGAAAGATGTTGTTATTGCAACTTTTCATCGTTTGAATGATGGAGAATTTTGTTACTTGCTGCTGACGCATTATTTATTTATTAGGAAAAAAAATAGAATGAACTCAAAGTTGCCAGGTCAAAAAGAAGATCATCACTACATTCAATGTTTCGACACAAATAAAGATCTCTTTTTTGGTCTATTTCAAATACTCAAGTTTTACATGACGATATTAAGTTAATGATTTATCCGCTAATACAATGTTCAAATGAATCACTTTTTTTTTGTGCAGGAACCTCAACTTCCAATGACATAATGCAAAAAAAGAACAGATAATGTAATGAAATATATAGACTTCTCAAAGTCTTCAAAATTATACAAATATAGTGTAGTTTTCATATTAAATAAGCTATAAAATTTTTATGCGAAAAACCAAAGCTCATTATTCTTCCAAGCTAACATTAACAAGCATGTCTCTTCCATGTCCAAGTCTAACAAATTGTTTAAATTGTTCATAATTCAAATTTCTATCATCAGACATATTTACACGTTCAATAAAATTTAATATTTTTTCTTCTGTTGTTGATCGTCCAATAATACTTATGAATCGATAAAATTCATGTAATTCAATGATACCATTTCGATGTTGATCAAATATATTAAATGCTCGACGAAGTTCATGTTCTGAACAACAATGTCCAGCAATCAATGGTCGTATTGTATCAATATATTCTTCAAATGTTGGCATTTTATTTGCACTATAACCATATCGTCGTAAAATTGTTTTGATATAATGATCTCGTGTTAACCATAAACTATAATTTCGTTCAATAGATGAATAAGATTCTAAGTCATCAATAAATTCGAATTCAACTTGTTCTAAATAATTATCTCGTTTATATACATGTTCTCGTATAAAAATACGTCGTTGGCTATTGTTGTTGTCAGTCATATTAGAATAAAATCGATCATATTTCTTTTTTCTTTTTTGTTACAGGAAGATTTTTAAATCATGTTGAGAATGAAATTGATTTGATGATTTCATAAAAATAAAGTTTTCAAATTCTTTATTATTCAAGTGGAATTTTTTAAATATTTTGTCGAGTTGACATAAATATTAGCAGGTTTATTTCTTTTTTATTTTATTTCAATTTATCGATTGTTTGGTAGCTAGAATATAAAAAACAAAGTTATATTTTTCTTGTTTTGCTGGTTGGCAAGAAAGAAGAAATCAATTATTTCTTTTCATAATAAGAAGGGTAAAAAGAATCCATTCTGTCTCAGAATTACATATTATTTTTCTATTCGAATCACTGTTGTGTCTATTTTACTTTAGTTTTTAAATAGATCACACATTCTATTCATTTTAACAATGGCTTGTGAGTATAATGAAAAAAGAAGTAATTTTATACATTAACTTATTTAGTTTATGGCTCTACCTTTTCCAATGAAACACAATGGACTGATGCACGACAATCTCGTCCTGCTCGTCATATTGCTTGTCCACAACGTTTGAAATATATTCATAGTATTCAATGAATATTTCTTATTTCTAATTTATTCATTACATTTTCAATAGATATTAAAGATGGATACATTCCTTATGTTGAAGATTCACCTTATATTAATCCATCAGCAAATGAGAATGCATTGAAAAGGACAAATCATTTGGGTCTATGTAAGTTGAGACAATATATGTGCGTTACTATAATAATGAATAAGGATGAATGTAAAAAAGAAATAGCAGTTATTTATAACTTGACTTGAAATGAAGTTGCAAGGTCATTTGTTGATGTATTACAAATGAAAAGAAAACAAAGCCTTATTCATACTTGAATTGTATTGATTTTAACATAAGATTATCTCATGTCCATGTTAGATGTTTTCGTAGATTTCAAGTTTCGTCAATAATTAATGTTAATAATGAAGAAAAAAAAATAGAATTGTTTCTTGTTTTTATCAATTCAAAATATTACATTTCATTTATTAGATAAACTCAATTGTATATCTCTTGATAATATCACAGAAATATTTTTGTTTTACCAATAAGCTAATAATCTATTTTATATTTATTGATGGATAAATCGAACTAAATCATTGTGAGAAACTTTATTTACAAGGTTATAATGATATTTGATAAATAAAAATATCATGGTACAATTAAGAGTCATTTCGTTATAATTATAAATATAAGACTTTAGATGATTAACGTTTCAAAACATTTGTTATAATAATCTAAGATTTAGTCTTAATTGATATTCAGAATACATGAACGACTCTGTATAGATAATACAATGCATGATTGGCGTCAGGAATTGATGGGATTAGCTCGACAAGTTCAATCATCATTATCACATCTTAATGAACCATATCATTCTCGATCATCTCGTTCAAGTCAACAACGTTCAAGAAGAGCTACTAGTTCTATACCAATTTATCATTTGGATGAAGATAACGAACAAAATAATTCTAGACGATTATTAAATCGACGTTCAAATACGCGCAGTCAATTTTCACCTATAACAAAATCTAAAATATCTATTGATACTAACGAACAAGAATCATCAATTAACAATGAAAATCAAGATGCTGGGATATGGGTAATTTCAATATAAAACTTTTTTTTTTCTCCTTTGTTTTAAAATTTAATTTTAAAGTTGCTTCCAATTCTTTGTCATATATTACATGTTAACAATATCCACGAAGCACAAGATTGGCTTGTTAATGCCAATCTAACTGGTTTGAATAAGATTATATGCATTTCTTTCTCATACATGTATATATATATTTTTTTTTAAAATTTGTATAGAAAAACGCTTAGCAATGGAATTAATCAGTCGAACTATGCAAGATATGCAAAATCATGAAAATTCATTCATATCGGATATGTCAACTTATGATCAATCTTCAACATCATCAAATTTAAATAAGTAAAATCTACAAACATTCTTTTTTGTTTGGTCAATTTTTTTTTTTCAGTCTTTATTGGCCATACAAATTGTGGCAGCAGCAACAACAATCAAAATTAACTATTGATAATAGTGATACATGTGAACGAGCAACATCACCAGTTCGAATTCTTACACCGGCTAAACGATTATCAACATCAACTACATTTGATCGAGTACAAACTGCAAACGAACGACTATCAACTGCAAATAATCGAACACCAACAGCTTCTGTTATTATTCGATCAAATCCAATTCCACAAAAAATTCTAACACAAAATGTAGCAGAAACATGGCGTCCTCCTTCAAGATTCTTAACACCAATGTCACCAAATAATAATGATCGTCCATCTCGTCGTAGTTATCGTATAACTACTAGCAAAAGTGTTTCTACCGATAACGATAATAAACCTATATCAGCAAATTTACATGGCAGAACTCCACTGATTTGAAATAAACATTGTCAATACAGAATACAATAAAATAAATTTCCTTCGAATATTATTCACTGAACTAATTAATTTGCGTTACTTTCTGTAGTTTCATTTTTTTTTCGGATTATCTCATGATGAGATTTATAACAAAGAACACGTTTATATCATTCTTTTAGAACATATAAAGGAATGTCTCGTATCATGATCACGTTCTGTAGCTACTAGGAACACATTTGTTTTGAGAAAAAGGCTTCTGATGAAGTGCATAAAATAAAAAGAAAAACTGATTTTATTCATAAGTATTCAATCTTCTATTTTTTTTTTTTTTGATTTAATCTAATATAACGAATTGCATATACAAAAGAAAAATATTTTATTATAATACTAATCAGACACCAATCGATTAGAATTATTTCTCACGATGACACCTAAAGTAAAGATTTCATATTGAAAATTTCTTGTTACTCTAAATTTACCGGTTCTGTTGATTGACTTGCATCGGATTTTGCTTTTTCAAGAGCTTCTGCTTGAAGACTTACATTACTTTCACATTTCCATGGACCATTAATGGTACCTAAAATATTCAATACAATTAGATTTCTTTTTAAATTTATCATCGAACCTTTCCACATTCGAATTCTTCCATCGTCACCACAACTATAAAGTACTGAACCAAATACATTCCAACAAACTTTCCATACCTATATTCAAAACAAATTTTTATGTCTAAAATACAAAATAAACAAATCTATGGTTACCGTTGAACCATGATCATCTAATGTAATAATTCTTGTCACATCATATGTTTGTGCTTTATTTTCACTACTATTATTCAATTCTCCTCTGCATAAAAAGAATAATATTTAGAAAGAAAATAATATTAAAAAATGCAGTGCACGTCAACAGTCTTGCATCATATTTTTGTTTTTGAGTCGTGTATTTAAATTCCCGAACATTAATTTAATTTGACTGTATGCTTGTATAGTAGAGATCGAGTACTATATAACGGGTGTCACAAAATGAATGGCGCTCTCAGTATTTTTCATATAACTCATTCATTTTTCAGTGTTTAAGAAAAAAATTTTTTACCAAAAGATTCCTCGTCAAATTCTCTACAAAACGTATATATTTTTATTATCTTAAATAATCTCCATTATTTTGTGACATGCGATACAATCGATTGGTCAAAGAAGCACAAATTTNTTGATTTTAAAAGAATTTATGGTCATTTTTATATATAAATAATATTCTTTTGAAATAATGCAAACAATGTACGCGCACTCAACATAAAAACGATAAAAAATTTTTCATTTGATTACTATTCTAATCTATATTAGAACTCAGTTTCTTTTGCTCTATAGAGCGCCCGATCCTAGGGACGGCGTAAGACATATTTGGAATCGGTAGAGTTTTCTCCTTATCGGTACTAGTATACTGGTACGAGTCATTCATCTGATTCTATAAGAGTCGAATTAACCACTTGATTGGTCATATGTACGTCCTAAGCACTACTATAATGATATAGCAGTCTCTTTTTAATGCTTGTTACTCTTTATTCCGAAAAGTTTTCTCGTTCTTGACGTCTATTGGTGAAAAGTAAGTTACACAGGACTAGAAATTCTATATTAAATTTCCGCATTATTTTCACTTTTTTATTTTTTATGTCAGTGCGAAATGTTTCCTCTATATTAGCAGGAGAAATACAAGTAAGTCTATGATAAATTACCCTACTATAGAGCTGAGTTAGTACGGATTTTCTCGAGTACAAGTACAGTGAAAATCGGACTCTTGAACGAAAATTTCGAATACCATTACATTAAAGCTTGTGTTCAACATCGTTATAGGCTAATTATCAATTATATTTTGGGTGCACTTTTACATAAAATCGAAGATAGAAGAAATTAGCTATTCACTTCATCTTCGAAGAGCAAAAATAGGTGCATGGCACCACTTAAATATAACACATTTAATATAAAAGGACAACGATGGATGTGGTCATTTTTCTGACTTCAAAATATTTTATTTTATTCTTGCATTGCAACTAATCCAATGGTGACACCCCAAATTCGGAGAAGAAGAAACAAAATCGTAAGCGATATGAAAAAATTTCCGATGTGAACATGTTTTTCTGATCTCTTTCTCTTTTCTGTTCACTGTTTTTTTTATGCACTACGAGTAAGAACATATTAGTGTATGATTCGCTGGTTCACGTGTAAAGTAGAGAAGATATCACGACAATAGTTTACTTTACAAGGATAAAAAATACTATTAATTCATGATAATAAAGATAGTCATGATTTATCACAACGTAAATTGGCTAACAAACAAATATAATTTATCACTAGGCTCGATGTCAAATATTTCAGAACGTAAAACAGAATATTTAAATGATTATGAAACAAATCAGAATCAATGTGTTAGATAAAAATAAAAAGATATTAATGCACAAAAAAGTTAATTCAAAAGCAAAAAGACGAAGAACATTAGAAGCTTTAAAAAATAAATAAATTCTGTGTTGTACTTGAAAAATCTTTCAATTTCAAATCATTTGGATGAGCAAGAGAATAAATAACAAGACTTATCTAGCACTACTAGTATAATAGCTAATTTTCTAGAATCTTTTCTTCATTTCAAACCAACCCATACTTCAACTCTCTAAAGTAAATACTTTTGAATGGGTCCGATGATGTTCATAATAGAGAGATTTTATTGTGTGGAATTGAGCATTTGAGGTTGAATGTCGGTGCATGTTGAAAATATTGGAGTGATTGATTGAGTTTACATTAGTTTTGAAAAAAAAGACACAAAAATTCTAAAAGGTTCTATCTAATAAGTCAGAATTATCTGTCGATATGCTTACATGTTAATTTGATCAAAACTGAGCTTTGCAATTGTTCGAGTGCTTTTTTTCGATATCTTGACTTCCTCTTGTATTTAGTCCTAATTGATTATAGATGAGAACAAATTCTTCTTTATTCTTGTTTTGTATCGATGAAAAAATAGTGTCATACGTGACTTCAATGTTTCCTGTGAGTGCCGTCAAATGACCGATTTCTAGTACTAATCAATGTTGAATCGATTTCTTTATGTATCACTACTATAAAAATATTCCATGTTAGGATTTTCAAGAAAATTCAGATTGAATAAATTATAGCTTTCACTAATTTAAAAAATCTTCATCAGGTAGAAGTTGTTTTTATATGCCTATATCATTTAAATGTAATCTAATCAACTGAAATTGCTTATCATAATTAACTTAAATAAAAAAAAAAAGAAAGCTTAAAATATAAAGTCTAAGCAAAAAATGTAGCTGCATTATATGGTTCTGCGTTAATCAATTTTTTCTGCGTTCTTAAACCAAAGGTCGCAAATAAACCTACGATTGGTTGTTGATTATTTTGCCGATTAGCCAACTCTTTCAATTGAATATAATATAATGGTCCATATAATTTTTCTTCATTCGGACGAAAAATAAAAACAGATTTAGGTTTTAAAGTTTGTTGTAAATAATGCATTAGTGTTTCTTTCGTACCTTGACCATTTGCTACTGTATCATACTGAAGGATTAGATGACGAATACGTTTTTGACGAAAAAGATTCTGTCCTGAACGAAGTACATCCAATCCAACACTGTCGAAGTCAATTTTTAGTATGAATATTGATGATGGCCATGCGATATTATCAAGTTGAATATTTTGTACTTTTATAGGAGCTACTATATCTGCTGCATTATAATTTGAAGATCCACTTAGGGAAGTAGGATCAGAGTCCGGGTTATTAACAAAATTATGATAGAGAAGAACAGGACGTCTCGCAAATTTATTGATTGCGATTGAAATCTGAATAAGAGCAATCATATCTGATTGTTTCTCCAACATGTAGACAGAACAATCGCATGCTGCAGCGTAAAGACCAAAATCACCTGAAATTAGACAAGAAAAAACTTTTCATAAGAAAGTTTTTATACGAAAAATTTCCTCGTATATTTTAATTTTGATTAAAACTTCTTGAAAAAGATTTCATAGCAATCTCAGTTGTTCTATCTCACATTTTAAATATGTTAGAAACTATAATAAAAATCATGTTAGTTTACTGATAGGTCATGGAAATGCTAATTTCGATAATTAGTGTATTTTTCTACTTTTTTAGATTTTATAACGTTTGATAATATTCAAACGAAGGGTTTAATAAGAAATCATATTTTAATATTTTAGAGTATTATTTTACCTAGTTTAGCACCGACATCGACAACAAGGATTGATGTATCTTTTTTACATGTATCGTAGAGCTGCAGTTTTTCAAATATTGTGGCTCGTGCTCCACCAGTGAAAGGTTTACTACCATTTCGAGTGGCAAGTCGATATGATGGCATTCGATCATTCATGTTAACAACAATTTCAAAAGGAGTTGTAGTAGGAGCAATAATAGTACTAGAAATAACGTCAGTGATTGTAAATTCGTCTATATTTTCGGTTGTAGTTTCATCTTCAGTAACAGTTCCCATTGAAGACTTTAAGAATTCAAATGAAAACGATGGCATTGTTAATTTTAAATCAGTAAAAACAAATATATGATATAATAAACCGATGCAGAGTGGAATGCACAATATAAATAGAATATTAGAAAGTTTACTCGCAATGTAACCAATACATTTAAAGAAAGCAGCAAATTTGTAGTTTTTTGTTGTATACAATTGATATCTCGTTACTACCATGATCTACTATTAATGAAAATGATAAAGAAAAGTTAGAATGTAATTAGCATAAAAAATAATATATGACATTTCGAAAATGCTTACAACAATTAAAATTTCTCTGCAATCATTGTAATAATTGCAACCCGTCTAAAGTTTATAACTATTCCTATCTATCAATAGTACATGGACAACAGAAATCCTTCTTTGCTAGAAAATATATATATATGATAACTACCTATATATGTTTTTTTATGTACTGTTCCGTAGATCGATTGAAAATACTTATACTCAGAAATTTATAATATGGATATGAATATCAACAAAAAACAGATAATAGAGTATATCTTCAAAAACTTCGAGTTTCAATAAAATATATATTAATAGAAAGTTTCTAAGAAATATACTCTTTATAATAAACTATAGTCAAAATATATCTGATAAAGGAAAACCATTGTCGCCTAAGCATAATTTATTGATCTAAGACAAGTTGTAACTTATTATACTAATCTATGTAAAAATTGTAGAGCTACATTAAATCCACGTAAATATTCGAAGGTATAATCAAATTTTACAATAAAATCGGTATAGAAACGAAAAATATTACTTGTATGCATCGATACTCAAATACATATACAATATATTGATAATGTGAGGGCAGTCATGGTTCAATAAATTTACCATTTTTTTTTCTATTTCTGTTCATGCAGAACTGTTAAGACTGACAAAAACCTTGCTGCTTTATAAAAATCACGCTTTTCTAGAGCATAAGAATTGTCAAATATAAGATACAAAAATGTAAAATTTTAGTAATATCTCATCGATTTAGTGTTTTTACAAAGCAGTGGAATATATAGGAAATGCGTCATTAAATTTCCTTGCAATATATACCAAATTAACAGTAAAACTAAGGAATATTTTACCTTTTTTCTTTCTCCCCGAAAAGAAGTGAGTTATGAATCATTATGACATTCAGCGTCTTCCTTTATATTATATTAATTGAAAATTGTTTTCATCACTTATATTTCCCAAGAATATATGTTTTAGTATTTTATGCTAAAACGTTTTTTTTTGTTTGTCTTATTTTTCGTCCGAATGTTGGTCATATATCGTACGTTATTGAAGATAGCCTTCAATCTGTTATATTCATTAACGAAAATGCTGATTGAAGAAAATCTGTTTAACGGAATCGGCAAGTACTGTTGGAAATATTCTAACACGCAAATCAATGTTATAGTTCTTGTGACAGAGAACACCATTGCTCTTGTAGATTTCACTTTTTGCTCACATTAACGTCTGGAAATCAACATCAATTAGCTTGATTGTGGTAACGGTTCTATATGCAACATCGACAGACTTGCAAACGAATGGTGATTCTTCGAGTGATTCAAAGAAGTCTGACATATATTTAATGAAGTTGTTTTTGAGAGGAAGTTGCTGTCATAGGTAAATGTTCTATTCATTGATCTCTTATTATGTCGAAGCATGACATAGAAAACTGAACGACGAATTCTTGTCAAAATCGGATAACTGTGACGATGATCTTTGATCAAGATAGAGTCTATTAGAATCATTGAATCATGAGATAAGTTGATTTTCTATGTTTTCTAAGTTCTTAATACGTCGATCAGTCGAGAAAACAACTCTCATGTGAATTCTAAAAATTACTGTCTAATCAGCTATTACAAAGTTTATCGTTTTAGCTTTTTGAGCTATTTAATTCTGCTAGAACTGACCGAAAAAATGAAGAAAATTCATCATGTCCGATCTGAAAAACTATAAAACGATGAAACGTGGAAGTAGCATGACGAACTGGGATGTCTCAGAATTCTTTCATCGGAAGTAACAGGAAGTTGATCGAAAGTAAAAAGAGAAATTCAAAAACTTTTCAACTCAGAATACTGCTTCCACTTGGATCAATCAATGATATGGGCCGCATGACACTGTCAAATAATGAATATAATTGACCATATATTTGTTAATGAAACTTCTTCATCTATTATTCATTGTTCTTTCTCTGATCTTCGAAAATAATTGTCCTGTCCAGGAAAATTATCATGAATAACAAGTGGCAGCAGGATAAGTTCCTCAAAAAAGTCTTTAGATAAGTTTCCTATTACAAATACCTTTCATGACTGAATGAAAGATATTCTATATTGCTTGATTTCATATGTTTCTTGAAGATTGTATATTATATAATTATATTATTGCTAAAAAATTGGGCTGAAAATGAAACATGATTTAGCATTGTCATTTCTTCTGTCTATTTGAACAAAGAGACAAGAGAATTGATTATTGATCTCGTTAACAATCCAATTATGAAACAGATTTCTTGATATGACCTGTCTCATTCTGAATGTAGTTCGTAAGAGTTAGCATTGTCACAACTATATTTGTACAATTCTATTTCATTCATCAAATTTTCTCTCAAAATATTTGCTCTTTACTCTTAGGAGTTTTTCTTTCCTGTTTCTCTTTCATCAAGTATATTACAATCTTGTCAATATTGTTGTGCATCGTCGATAAATTATTTCTCTTCATTTTCTTGGATAATTCCAAATATGGATTTGTTCACTAAGTTTTCATCCAAATGAACAGTTTTACTATTTTACAGGATTTATTGTTGGAAAAGTCTGATATTAACAATATATGTATAATCGATATCTCAAATTGTTATATGCAAGAATACAAGTATTGTAACATTTCTTAGTTAATGTAGACTTACAGTGATAGTCACAGGTTTCAGTATTTTGTGAAAGTTAGGTAGTCATGTTTTGCGAAGATTTGATCTCAAGCATAGCTCGGAAAACTATAATTGGAAGTAACGATTTAAAATCAATTAATTGACTATATGAGAATGATATTACAAAGCCAATACTATTCTGAAATGAGTTGGTCTTTGTGTTAGTCTTCAGCAAGTATTTTTGTTAAAATCACCGATCATTTTTTAAGGTTTTTGCTTCTGAGAACTGGAACAAATGCTTAGAAGACAAAAGTGATTCTTGACGCCAAATAGATTCCGGATGAAGTCTATATCGAATACATGAAAAGTAAAGACCTTGAAAATAATTGATGAATTCATACTTCATACTTATTCAGTCGATTGGTTCTACCTAACTTTCACAAATATTGAAACCTCTGAACATCACTTTAATTCTAAATTACCTATCAGATGTTACAACGCCTACTTTTAACTATGATGTTTGTCCGGTCGAAGGACTGAAAATGGCTAAAAACATTCGTTTATTACTATTGAACTATCAAAGTAGCTGTTTTTGAACTTTTTTGTTCCTGCGACCAATAGTTGTGAGGTGTTCAACAAATAATTCCGGTGTTCTCTTATTTCCTAGATTGTGAAACTGTAACCTAGTTATTACTGAGCATGCAAAACTATGGTATGTAAGAGATACTTTAATTAACGGAATCGAAGAAAGAACGTCAACAGAGTATTCGTAACCATTATGGCAAGTGTAAATTACTTTGATCGAGCAACGCATTATCAAGAATCATTGTTCAAAGTATTTTGAGTATATGAACTAATCAAAGATATTACAAATTTCAGAAGCCTTTCGGTAGTGGCGTAACCAGGGTAGGGCTAGGTTAGGCTGAGCCCAACCAGCAGCAATTTTAAAAAACTGATTGTTATTTTTAGAACGATAAAATGAATAGAAAGCAAGATATTCACTTTTTCTTTCTAGCAATGGAAAGGCATCTTGTGTCAGTTAACTAGATTACACATATTCGGCTCACATTAAATGTTTCACTGCCAAACTTAGAATTTCAAAATACAAGCTGCTGACGAAGCACATAAACCGAGATATTTGAATTTTAAGGTATTTGCAGTGTATGTTAGACGCCTACAATTCACATTCAGCAGATTTTATTTCTTTTTTCATGATGATTGGATAGCATTCGTTTAATTTGATAAGAAAATATGTATTTCAAAATTAAAAAAGCAATTTTATGAAAAATTCGAGATATCATTGCTTTCAAATATAGGGGCAAATGTTTCCTAAGTTTCTAAATTTCATGAAATTGTTTTTTTCAATATTGAAAAACATTTTTTTTGCAACTCGAAGAGCTCTGACCAATCGTCACAAAAAAAGAAAACATTGCTGAAATTGTGAATTGTGGTCATCTTACATACTTTATAAATACCTGAAAATTCCCATATCTCAGTCCGTGTGCCTTGTTAAAAGCTCATTTTTCGAAAGTCTTAGTTTGGTCGTGATATGTTCAATCTGGTCCGAATATGTCTAATTTTATTAGCAGACAACACAAATATCTTCATTATTAGTTCATTTTAAATTGATCGCCAACTTGATACGTAATTAATCATGAGTTGTTTCTCATGATAGAGAGATGTCTTTTGGGTTAGTAGTTAATGATGGATTTTCATTCCACTGAAGATTTGTTTTCTTATAAATTCTGCAAGCGAAATACAGAAACAATTTCGTGATTCAATTCAATAAAGATTAAGTTATTGCTAAAATGCTATCCGGTGATAAAGAACTCGAGCGTGTTTATTATTGAACCGTTTTTCAGCTTATCTTCTTTGAAAAAATGAATGCGCATGGGTGTGACTTAAACGAAGTTCAACAACTACACTCAAACCTAAAATTAAGAAACATATCTGATGTTTTGTTAAACTATTACCATTCGAGCAGGCATTCACAATAACTATGTCTCTACCAACTTCATCTACTACAGATGAGAGAACTTTCCACAAGCTGAAATCGGTTAAATTAACGACACGCCGTACAATGTCGGATATTATATTAACCGATTTATGCGTTTTAGCAGCGAAGCGCGATTTTAACAACAATTTCGGAAAACACATAAATGATTTCGCTAATTCGCATAGAGCTTGTTGAATTCTATTAAAGAAAATCTTCCGACCTTTTTAATGTTTTTTTTTGCACTAAATGCATGAAAATATCATTTTAAAAACTTGTTTGTAAAGATAAATACATTATTGCACTCTTTCTCTATGAAAAGAAACACTGCTTCATCTTACATGGCCATCCAAAAAATGTTTAGGGCGGAGTCCAACTACCAAACTTTTTCTGGTTACGCTACTACCTTTCTGGTATTTTGTTTCACATGAATCTATGTAGTGAAATATTTTCTATAGTGAAGTTGCCAATTTGATTTCAAATGTGCTTGAAAAGATGGCTTTCAAAAGTATACTAACTCAAATTGGTATTATGAAAACAATCGGCTCGTCTTGATACATTCGTATTTTTCTATGAATTATTCAGTTATGTGCTAAATAAGACAATCAAAACCAAATTTTACTGAATTTCAAAATATAGTTATAACGATGTACTTCCTGTGAATAGCATACAATGATGAATCTTGGCATGCAATATCTTATTTGATGCTACTATTTCTTAATGTATTTGTTTACATCTCTTAAATGAGTACGTGCTCATTCACTCTTTTTCAATAAATTCATAATTAAAAGGTAATGAACAAAAAAAGCAAAAAAAAAGAAACATCGTATGACACGTCTTTAAAAAAACAAAAGGGCAGTCACCAACTCTTTTCAATCGAATGAAACAGTGGTTCATCAGGTATTTTGACTGTCCCTATGGCACTTTTCTTTATCACTGAAACGTAAAACATTAGCCGATCATATGACTCTTGATTCGAAATAGCTCGATGAATAGTACCGAAATCCATTTTGAGTATAGAAAACGGTTTTGCAACACATTGACGAACTGAATAATAATTACCGTCTTTTAACAATCGGCTTACATCAACGGAATCAGGATTTTGTGTCGCTTCCGATAATATAGTCGAACTGATTGATGGTGATAGAATGATATATTGCACTGCATTATTATGCGAAGTTTCAGTCAACGGAACGAATATTGTCGAATAATCGATTGTATAATCAAGATGAAACGGTTGTGCTTGTGAATTGGAAGGATTTAGAATATAGCCGTATCCATCCAAAACAATTTCATTAACATCGTAATACTTGGCAATCCATGAATGAACTAATTCATCTAACTGATGACTTTGATCAAATTCAACCATAAGTCCGGTCCTTTTTCCTGATCGTTTCCAAATATTAATCCAGAATACTTTACGTTGCGATAGAGCTAGTTTATATTCTGTATGAAGTTTTAATTGTAGATCAATATAAATATCTTGTAATAATTTTTGATGAACAGTTAATAATGTTCCATAGTGAACAAATCCACCCATGACTGATGTCGTTACATCGTCATAGATGATTTCGTCAACGCTTGGCTTGACTTTTTTCGATACTTCGACCCAAGATCTAATTATATGAGCACCATATGCGGCTTCACACCAAATGTAGAGTACTGCAGGTACGAACAGTAAATAACGATTTAATAAAAAGAACGTCAATGCAAAGTTCGATTCTTCTAATAATGTGTATATATTTGCCGTATCAATCATTTCGTAATATCCATAACAATATTCTAGTGTTCGAAACACACAATAAAATGGATAAGCAAGCCAAAGAAATGTACCGAAATGTGTATATTCATTTTCTGGCATTGTCCATTCAAGGATAATGGAAAATCCACTTTGACCTTTCTTCAGTTTCGGATAGCGAGCTGTAGATGTGATAGAAAAATCAAATATTCCTGTGCCAATCTCAATCGAAGTGGCAACAAGAATCCAAGGTATTATAGTGTGATCATATCGAATCCACCAAGCCATCAGTACTACTTCGCCAAGTATGTCGGCAAGCCAATCAACTCCGGAACCGAAGATGCAACATTGATTGAATGAACGAGCAATCGGACCATCAATCCAATCTAATAAAATTGAACCCAAAATGAGAAATGCACTCAATAGATGCCATTCAGTAGCGATAGTAAATCCCGCTACGACACACATTATAATGCGTATATAATCGACGATATTTGCATAGTAGAATTTGATCTCGTCAAATGTAACATAGTCCTTTAGGTCATGCACCAATTGTGAAACCCATTTACCACCACGATAAATGAGAACTTCCTGAGTAGGACGAGCCATGTGGATAAGATTAAACTGGGTCTAAAATAACGAAAGAATATCAACTGATAAAAAATAGTATGTAAGCTACAATAAAACAGAACACATCGGTGTTAAACCTGAAGATTTAGATTTTTTTTTCTTGTTTTCGGTAATATCCGCAATCAAATGGCATTCACACTGCTTACAAGTATCATCATGACTGCCGAACTTGTTTGAGTTAAAAATCAAAAAGCAAAACAGCACGAAATTTCTACAGTATATAGTTTCATGACGTCATCATGATTAAGTTCAATGACTCATTCTGTTGAGTTTCTTTTTGCGCATATAACTTTCAGTTCGCAGAAAATCACAGATATTGCTTGAGACTATTCACACCGGCATCATTTTTATTAAAGGTCTTACTCGTTCTTTTCTCTCTCTGTTTGTTACTGCCTTTAGCATTAGCTCCTGTGGTATAAGACAAAAGGCCGAATAAAAAACAAAACGTTTCTACACTTCTCTATATATGTGTGTGTTTAAGTATATGAAATGATATTCAATACACATGAACTGTTTTTTACTCATTTTTCTCATATCTACTGTGCTTGGTTCATCAAGATAGAAGTGTTTCCATTCGCAAGTTCCTTATGTTTATTTATGAGCTTTTCACAGTAGTGATAACGTTGAGAAAGGGCATATACACGAATTAAAAGTGACTTTTTAAGCACATGAAATTTTTAGAGTCAATTTTAGTAAAAACAACGCGCTTTTCCTATATCTTTGTTATTTTAGATTGTAAATTTTCTTTTTTACCATGCGAAAAAGAATGTAACATTAGTTGATTAGTGAACGCTAAAAAATGCGGTATCTCAAACTTTCGTTTTATCTACAAAGCAGATAAAACACATGCGTGAGCCTTTTTGGTCTGGGAAAAAATGCTCATGAATATTTGATTTACTTTCGCTTTTCAAACTGAAAATTTACCACAGCAACCTTCGACAAACATGATAGCTATTTTATAATACAGCACTTCTCTTCGTTTGACCTTTGGATCGTCAAAGGAAAGAATATCGAAAAAGTTGACTTACAACGAGCAAGCAATAAAAAAATAAGTATCGATTCAGAATTCATTGTAGAAAGAAAAAAAAACGGAATGAGTGTAATGTATGAAACGCTTTTGCAATGTAATATAACGACTCAAGAATTACAGTAAAAGGTCACATATATGAACAAAACTATTGTTTCGCACCAAAAAGAAATAGGTACAGACTAGAAAGAACACTAATAATAGAGACTTTAATATATGTTCTCTGTTGACAATGAACTGAGAAGAAGAAGGAAATTTCAAACAATCTCAAAAAGTGATATTATTTTCATCGATGACAACAGTTATATATACTGATTTTCAAATCAAAATCAAAACGTCTTATAAACTAAAGCTCTTATCGTTATTTACAGAAAGTCGGCTTTTTGTATCATGAAATGACAATAAAATTATTCTAGACTCTTAGATTAATTACAAATGCCTGTATTGTTAGTAGTTACTCTAGTTCACTTTCAAAATAATAAAGAGATCTATCAATCTACACTTTAAAACTGGTAAAAATATCCTTAGGATATTATATCTGAGTGTACCACAAAGATTAACTTTGATTGAAATAAGATACTGTGGAAAAATAAACATTCTCATAAATAATAAAGAAGAAAATACGAATCTATAGACCATTAATATTATTCTGTATATCAAGAGTCGTATAGGAATTCTTTTTTCTGTCGTTTCTACATATGTTATTATAAGTAGAAAATCGTTTATATGCTTATTATGATGAATTTATTAACAGATATATTTCATCATTGTGATCGTACACTAACATAAAATGTTTTTCATGTGTTTTATTTTGCGACACAATGTACGACACATTCCTCTCAACAATTCTGCGACACATTTTGAAAATGTGATTCGACTGTATCCATCAGTACGGCTGTCATTATTTGTTACATAATTGAATAATGGCTTCTTTTCGAGTTTAATCTGAATTAGTAATACCTGTTCTTAACACTACAGACAGTAAGATCATAAGACCTAATAAACCCAAATGGGTTTGATCTTGATCAGACTCCTTCGAAGTAGCTCATTCTTGAACATCGATCAATTTTCCAACGTATTCTTGAGCATGACTAATCAAGAAAGAATCTAGAATAAAAGACAAGCAAAAACACATAAATTCAGTATATTCAACGACGTTGCTTCTTTGAATCTGCAAGTGTTAAACAAAATGAAGAATGAATGATTAGTCAATAGACTACGACACATTCCGATAATGAAAAAATCACGAGTGACATTTAAATGTGACGCATTTTATTTTAGTATGTAGTCATTCTCCCTATATCGTCATTTTTTTCCTTTTCTTCTTTCTTTTTTCATGTGTACACCAAAAGTCTGTTCTTTTATTGTGTATTAGTCATTCTTGACTCGATCGTCCTTGCCCTTTCTCTGCTCTCCCTCTTTGCGCTGTTTCTCACACTAAAATAAAAATGTGTCGTAGTCTATTGGCTCATCTCTCATTCATCGTTTTGCTTAGCACTTGCAGATCTATAGAAGCAACGTCATTGAACGTACTGGATATATGAGTTTTCGCATATTTTTTTTTATTCTAGATTATTTCTCGACTAGTCATGCTCAAGAATGCATTGGGAAATTGATCAATGTTCAAGAATGAACTGTCTCGAAGGAATCTGATCGAAATCGAACTCACTTGAATTGACAGGGTCTTATGATCTTACCGTTTGGAACTCTAAGAATAGATATTACTAATTCAGACTAAACTCGAACAGAAATAATTATCCAGTTATGAAGCAAAAAATTACAGCCATGTTGAAGGTCAGAGTCGAATCACATTTTCAAAATATGTCGCAATTTACGATACATGCGACACATTTTATGTTAGTGCGCTTCCAAAAATGAAAGAAAGAATAAATTACAAGCAACTGAATTCTTTTATATTCACACTATGATTATAAAACATCGACAATTGATGTTTAGAAAAGAGTCTGATAGATACACAAGTATTCTTCTTCAAATATTTCAGAACGAAGTAAAATATACCGTATCAATTAGTAGAATACATTATCTCTTCATCTTTTATCGGTTCAATGATGTGAGACCGTTCGATTACTATCTGACTAGACACTTTCATCTCATAAACAGTAGTAGTTACCTGCTTACTCTCTCATTTTTTTCACTATGTCATCTTTTCACATTATCGTCTATTCAATCTGTTCTCTATTCACTCTTTTCTCTCTTGTCATTTCTTTTTTTGTTTGTCTTGCTCCCTCCCTTGTACATAAGCCTGTGTTCTATATGAAGTAGAGACAATTTTGGCGTGATCGAGTAACGTAGTAGATATCTATACCGACTACGGTGATAACGCTTCTACGTCATTTTGTCATTGTTGATCACAATCAAATATACACCGGATTAGTAACGAAATAGACCTTCACCTCATCTTTCTCATTTTTTTACACATACGTCTTGATGTATCGACACCCCCCCCCCTCGTCACAAAAGTGTTATATGAAACTACAAATCATTTTTTTTTTAAAATAACTGACGGTGTAGAATAAACTACATTCTTATTATTTTCAACATCTCTTCTCTATTGTTCATTTGAATGAGACACTTTTTTTAATCATATATGATAGTATTCGAAAAATATCTTTGCTATATTCCAAAAAAATAAAAATAAAAATAAAAATTATAGACCTACAAACAAATGTAAAAAAACGTAAATATGAAAAAAATGATGGACCAGCAAAAATTTATCGTGATCTAGCCTGCATGATTTCATTATGAACAATTAAATTATGAATAAAAATGATCAACAACATTGGCTCCATCAATTTATCGTTTTCTTTTGACTGCCTACACACGATTCGAACAAAAGTCAATATCTCGAAGGTATAATGGTGCTCAATTTATAAGCAATGAGTGTTAACAAGAAAGTTGACTGCTTAAATGAATATTTCAAGAAGGAGTGTGTAGTAAATATTATGTTAAGATCTTCACTATTTCTCCAGACAAGAAAATAAGGCAAATACAATTGACTGATCTTCCAAAGACGTTTTTTCTCCAGCTAAATTGCATGACGAATTCATTTTACCAAGAATACAGATAAAGTCAGTGCAGAGTATTCTTCTTGAAAAATCGAAAATTATATAAATTCTACTAAATTGTTTAAATTAAAAAGTGTTAAAGATAAGAAATCGAATGATATCAAATATTTACAAATTTTCCTTGAACTTTTTGAGTACCCGTGGGTAAATTTACTACTAATCGACAATTATTCTTGTTTTATGCCGGAGCGTTGGCTTTAGCAACGGTGCATATAAAGCAAATTCTCCATGTCTTTCATTTTTCAAGCGCTACATACTCTATTATTAGAGTAGGTACAAATCATTTTCTTACGTATGTACAGTAAAATCTCTACTAGTGAACATCTCCTTATTCTGAACAGTGAATATTATTTTGCAGTCCCTTTTACTATTATAATTTCTACAATGTGAACATTTTTTTTTTTTTCTTTCTCTTTCCTGTTTCCTATTTCTTATGCACTGCAAGTTAGAAAATGATATCACAACATGAGCTTAGTTTACAAGGAAAAATACTATTAATTCATGATACTAAACATAGTCATGATTTATCACAACGTAATTTAACTAACAAATATAATACATCATTCGACAACTTAAAACAGAATATTTAAATGGATTATGAAACAAATCAGAATCAAAGTGTTAGAAAAAAAATTAAAAGAGATCAATGTACAAAAACCTAGACGATCAAGTGTATTAATGGTTTGTACAGAAACGTGCAAAAAAAAATTAATTCAAAAGCAAAA